TGGCCCTGATTAACGCTCGGGCGCTCATCTCTCCCCAGGTTCATAGCTGGAAAGCGCTACGCCTCAAAGGGTCAAAATCTTGACCAAAAAGATGACTGCTACTACCTCATGTCGAAGCTCAGCTAAGGCAGATGTTTCCGCGAGAATTCACCTCAAGTCGGGGGGTTGCAGGTTCTAAGGCAGGGGGGGATTCAAAGACCACCAGAGCTTCTGTCCAAAGTGGAAAAGCTTACCTGGAGATGTGCGGCCGCCTTTACTTCTTCACCCACCTCACATAATGTGCCTTGCGAATTTCCAGCCTACCTGACCGTTACGGATACCTTGCTTTAGTCCCCGTTCTGGCCTACATACACTACGAATACGGATACAGATACAGAAACTCCATAATCCACCCTGCCGCATCGACCATCACCAAAAGGGTTCATTGCAAGACCCATGACAACCTTGGACAAGTATTGACGGGTCAGCTCAACCTTTCCCCCGGTTTTCAGCGTCGCATTCTCATCCATATCCTGTTGCGGGACGGAGTGGGCGACGCACCAGCCCTCCGGCAATATCCTCATATCCTCTTCCCCGTCACCTTCAGGGGCCCTGGAACGGGATGAGGAGAAGAATAACCCAGGTCAACCAGCTGTCAAATGAAAGACCAAACGAGACGGCCAATTAACCCTAGTCCTGCTTGTATGTACACAGCACCTGGCAAGCGGGCGAATGGTCCGCCCGCATCAGTGCCGCCCACTCGTCCCGAGCCCACGGGGCGTTCTGATGCCGTTGAACTCTGATGTATCGGTGCATCCCCGGTTCGAACATAGCCAGCCTAGTACTGTCGGCCCTGGCCCGGCCGGGTCATCACTGCCCTTGACGGAGTGCCGTTGCACGCGTCAATACTGTCTGCTTGCGGATACGTAGGGTACGGATACACACGTTCGCACTGCCTTTCATCCAAAGTTGCTTGGCGCCAAAGTGTTTACCCAGAACTTGGTTTCTTGCCATTTCTGAGAGCAGCCTAACTTGGAGTTTGTCGTCGACGAAATGTCAGACACCACCCTGCAGAGCGGACGAAACCCGCAAGCCAAGCCTCGATTCAGGACGATGTCCCCTGGTTGGGACTGGGTACGTATCCCATCTCTCCCAGCCCATCCCCTGCCACTCAGTCACAGTGACTCCGCGACTCCGCGACTCCTCTGATCGCTGATAGTTCACTGCCTTTTAATCTATCGCTAGCGCGGTGGTCTACATCACTTACGTATTCTCAGGAGTTTGCCTTGGAAGGCGCCAAACTCTAAAGCACTTCCTGTCGTCAGGTTTTCGATCGCCTGATGCATCTCGACACTTGCGGAGACAGCAACTTGCATACGCGATAGAGAGAGGGGGCAGATGTATTACACGTCGACCCATAATATCATGTCGGCTTGCGCGAAGCGAAGGCTACTGGAGCGTTCGTGGTATGCGCCTAGCCCGTTGACGAGGCCCAGTTGAGTTGAAATGTACTTGTAAGACCTCTTGAACACCCGATCTCGACTTTACAAGTGACGCTATTCTGCATCTGTCAGCGCCCGCTGTGAGACAAGATCGGCCAAGACGGCGACGGCAACACGATCGTTCCAAGGCAGGACAAGTCGTGGAGGCAGACTGCAGTCCGCAGACATCGCCAATATCTCACTTGATCAATTTTGTCTTGATTCTCGGAGTCCGGACCTCTGCATGGCGGACACTACGAGACCCAGAACCAAGACTCAAGACCTCCGACGAACTGGTACTTGGGTCTGGCTCCCCTCTCTATGGGCCCGCCACAATCGCTACCTACCATCGCCCCTCCTCCGACGTGCCTATGTTGATTACTCCGTACCTCCGCTGGTCGCCCGCGAACATTCATGCGCGTCTGGCTCTAGCGGCTGACCCTGAGCGCACGCGCGTTCGTCGTATGCATTGCTGGCTAGACAAAGATGGTGGCAGTGGTTGTGGCTCATACACATGAGCCTCTCGGAAGATAGGTAAGGCGTAGAGCATTTGTTGACAGGGCTCAGACCGAAGCGATTCTAGGAAGGGCGGTCAATTTGTCGCCCGTACCACCTTGAATGAATTGATTATCCAGGGCTCCGCATCGTGTCGACCATCTCCTTGGACAACCCACATTGTACAAGTTGCAACATACTCAACGAAATGGAGCACTGGAGCATGCTGCATGCCCAGAGATACGGAGGGGCCCGGATGCGGCACAGGAAAGAGAGAGAGAGCGAGGCTTAACTCGTCCAAGACTCCCAAGTGGATGTGACATCTTGCAGGAGAACCCACTCCACGTCACAGCATATCCATGCCATTCCTCCCCTCAACACCCGAGCCCAAAACACACTCATTTTCATCTTCTTGCACCCCCACCGGGAATGGAGAAAGGAAGACATGTCGAGAGGGGCAAGGGAGGACAATGGGGCGTCAGTGGGATGGTTCATATCCAGATCGGCGTCTACGAGGCACGACACGGCTGGCGCAATATCGCTGCTTTCCAGGTCTCTGGTATTGTACACACGGCCTGCTGCCGTCCTTGGATCATTAGACGGTCCCATGTTGCTCTCAAATTAGAATAAGAATGCTGCTAGTGTAGCAGACACCCGCCGACCAGGCCGATACCCTTCACCCCCGTCCGTCCCCATCGCACCTTTCAGATCAACAGCGTGTGCGTTTGGTTGGCCATTGTGATGGTTTTGCCAAGTCGGGGGGATTCCTGTCGCTTCCCTCTCCCATCGGCTAATTTATCACATCGCTTAAGATAGCAGCATGCGCTTAGAAGATCCCTTCCTCGACGAGACGGTTGAGCTGTGAGGCTCTGGGCTTCTGTCATTTTTGATACATGCCACGAACAGCGATCAAGGACCAGGGCCGGCTGCTCACTTCGGGAACCCGGTGGAACTAAGTAATCATGTATTGATTGCAGTTGTGGATGACAGGCTGCAATGATTGACCGACCGTCAAGTCGACCGCTTTCTGCTGTTTCCTTTTCTTTTTTTTTTTCTTTTTCTTTTTGGCCATTCTTCACAGGTACATTGGGGGTCTCTGCTCATCATCTTTTCAAGGTGTTGCATGGGACTGTACGAGTTGCTTGTCACCCCGGTAGACACGAATTGTTGACCATACCGGATGAAGAGAAGAGGGAGAGGGTCCAAGCAACGTTGACGATACTGCGACCTTCTCTTCCCAGGTTTTTCGATGCGCCCACTCAGGCTTGGCCTTGCTCGTTTCCGCTCGGATCGAGGAAAATTGAACACAGAGTTCACCGGTGTAGGAGTGCGGGTGGATACGCCCAACTCGATTCTACCTTACTCTGTACTACAAGAAAAGACTTATGGATCTTTTTCTGCTCACATCAGGAGACGAGGGAGATTGGCCTCTTTGCAACAGAGAGATTGAAGGCAGAAATATGAGGTGGGAAGCGTTCGAGCGATAGATTGAATTTCATTTACAAACCACCACTACAGCAGGGCGTTGTAGAAGGAGGACGGGCAGAGCGGGCACTCGCGCGGTTTGTGCGTCTATCCATGCGGCAAGGGCGCCTCCCCTTGTCTGAGGGACCCCCCATGTTAACCGTCTACGATTCCCTGCCCCTCTGTCCCTTATTGCCAATTGGAACTTGTTGGTACCACCATCTACTATGGTATATGTGGGCTCTTTCTTGTCTGATGGGCGCGGCGATCCGGACATAGACTTTTCTTTGCCTTGTCGTCCTGTCTCGATCTCCATCTTGTCTCCGGCCGAGAAAGCTGACCTGGTCAAGGTTCTGGTGGTGCGTTACCGGTCCCCTAGCTAAGCCCTGTCAACCGTTCAATGGGAACATGGGCCCTTGTGATGTCAGCAGTGTGAAAGACAACACAGCAGCAGCCAGCGCCCGGCCCGGCTCGGCTCAGTATGGTCAGAGAAGACGGAACGCATCCTATCAGACAGCACGAAGCCAACCTGATGACCAAAGTGAGAGAGAGACATACAGAAGCAGAGAAAGTGTAAAACGGTTAAGACGGCTTTCCGTGATTGGACCATGCTCATCTGAGGAGACAAAAAGGGAAAAAAGGCACTTTCTGTCGACAGCTCATTTGCATACTGCATAGCGAGGAGCAAAGAAAAAAAGTCTTGGACTTTGCAGATTGGAGACCCTCTCTCACTGTCTCTCTCCATCTCAACGAGCCAAAAAGAGATAGACCTTGACCCCCCCTTCGGTTGGATCAAGTCTCATCACTTGTGTGAAGGAGCTGCAGGACGGAGTTTCCGTAGTATGACCATGCCATGATGCGTAATGGGGTAATGGGGGTGGTCACTGGATGGATGGGTGGGTGGTTTGTCTGAGTATCTATCCCATCTCCCATCTCTCTCTCTCTCTCTCTCTCTCCCTTTTCGTCCACAGTCCAGCCATGCAGAAAACGCTCCCGCAGGCGAGGAGCAGGGGTAGCCAACATAGAGTTTTCGACTGTTGCCGTTCTTTCCAAGATTTGGTCTTGGTATACTTGGTATTACTATTAGGTATTTTGGTTCGGTTCCTCGGATTAGTCCAGACTCCCAAACACGCAACCGAAGTTGACCCTCTCTCTCGGTTCGAAGTATCCCTCTGTCTCTTGTCGGAGTCTCTGTCCCTTTTCTCATTGCGGCATCTCGTTGCGGCATTGTGATAGCCGGGGGTGTGCTATAGTCTATACTCCCGTAGTGTTGCGTGACGGGCAAAACGCGACTCGAGGGAGCTGATGATCGGCGGTCCCTATGTTGTCATCATCTGCTTTTCTAGACGACAGAGTTCCATCCCAAAACTACCCAAAATCTACTAGCGACCCCATCTCTGTCGAATCTCATGCCCCTCCCCCCCTGCACACACGTCTCCCGCGCGCGCTCGACTGAACTCATGAAATCATCGTGGGCACATGATGTTGCAACCAAGTCCTTGAAGTAAAAGATCACAAGTCAATAGGACACTTTTTCTCTCCAAAGCGTGTGTATGAAGGAAGCATGTGTTTGTGTAAAATCGGTTCATCAAATTTTGTGGTTTGTTTCTGGCAAGGTCTAGATCGGGTTTATCCTCTCCAGCCCGCATAACTATGGTTAAACATCAAAAAGTCCATAATCACATTCTTTTAATCCCATCCCAGAATGTGTGTGTATCATCCCCCGTTTCCCCAAGAAAGTCTAAAACCGCCCAATGGTTTGGTACCCAAAAATGATGATAAACAAAAGGCGAAGAAATAAGAAAACCTCCAAAAATCCTGTAAAGCGCCTTCCTTTCTCCAAGTCTCTCGGCAGTTTGAGCAACAACAAAAAAGCAGTGGTAATTTGGGGTTGGTCGCAGAAGTCCTCCACCCTGTTTCTGATGCACCGGTATCGCGGGTAAAAAAGAAGAAGGAAAAAAGGTCGTGAGTGAAAAGAATAGAAGCAGTCCCAGCCACCATGCTCTCCTGGCCCGCATTCGAATGCCATAACGAAGCCAACCCGTTTTTGTTTTTATCTACTACAACAGACCCAATCAGGCAAAGTGTGTGCGTGCGTGTGTGTGTGTTTGATGTGTTTCCCCCTTGAGAGGTCCCATCCCATTCCAGCTAGAATGAAACTCCATTCTCATAACAAAGGAGGAAGGAGGACGTGAAAGAAAAATGGAGACTAATAGCCCCAAGTTACGAAGTATGGACAAGTAAATAGGTGAAGAAATTGGCGCCAAGTATCGTATCCGTCTCAGGAACCTTCGACTGCAACACAGCCACGAAGTTCGGGGTAACGGCGAACAAAGTTCTCGTTGAGGCGCCAGTTTTCGAGGCGCATTGCGTGGGCAGTAAACGTGTCGCTGAGCCACATCTCTCCAGACTGCGGGTCGACCACCAAGGCGTCAATTGGCCGGCATGGCCAATTGATCAGTCTCAAGCTAGACGAGTATACGCCTTGAAATTCTTCGTTCGCGTACAACTCCTGGCGTTCGATAATGGCAGTGCGCAGAGGTGCCCAAAGAATGAGATCAACCCACTGAGGATGCGGAATTCTGGTCTGGCACGGCTTCGGCGTGAGTTCAGGCACAATGGCCTGGTATGCCTCACGCGTTGGGTGCACCAGCCAGGCGATGGCTCGTTGGATGACGGCGAAGACTGCTAAGCGTTCAATGACGTTGGTGACACCTGCCTTGTTGACGAGAGCAGTGATGAGCTCAGCCATGGGGTGCTTGACGCCGGGACCCGTGACTGTTGTGGAAGCGGCTCGATCAAGGTCGGCTAGCTGGCATCGTGGAGGTTCTGTTGTAGGCGAAGCCGGATGATACTCGAGGAAATTCTTCACATTGACCCTAGCAGGTCGGAGGAGGTTGTCGAGAGACTTTAGTTGTGACAGTCGGCGACAGTCCTGTATGAAGCCGACAATCAACTGGTCGATTCGACAAGTTGGCGGGACGATGAGGGTCGGAATCTCCCAGAGGGTGGTGCCAGGCTGGCGAATCAATGAGCTGACGGTTGTTGGTAGTACACCGGAGTTGGATACGAATTCCACGACTGCTGGTGATGAAGATACGGCTGATGATGATGAGAGATGGGAACCTGCGACTGATGAGGCATTGAGTGGTGGCTGTGAGGGTATCCAGCGTCTAGAAGCTGAGTGGTTAGCGTCTCAGATTTGCGTTGCAACCCAACCACCGGACACAGGGAAGACAACCTACCAGAGTCGACATCGTCATATTCACTCATCTTTGCCGGTATGCTTCGGGCATCCATCATCGGCGCGGGGACGCTCGTGGGGATGTAGCCTGCGCCGTACTCATCGGTGTTGGCGGACGATGACGGGCTTGAAACGGTCGAAGGAACGGAAACGGGAATGCCTGGGCCCCATGACTCTGACGCATCCGGCATGGGCACGTAGGAGGGACCGAGTTCTTGCATGACGTTGTAGTCACCGTTTGAAGGGAATGGCGAGGATCGAGGACTGGGGACTGCGCCGCTAATAGAGCTCAGATTGTCGTCGTACACTGGAGCCGAGTCAGCACGAACCAGAGGCAGCCACGCAGAAGACGAGGCAATGGAAGCAGCCGTACCTGAGTTTGGGTAGGACTGCCCGTTGGGAACGCCCATGCTCTCTCTGAGCTTGAACAATTCCTCTTCAAGTGCCTTGTTCTTGCGCAAAAGCTCCTGGACGGTCTGGCTCTGATCGCGGCCGCGCTCGCTCTTGAGCTCCTCAAGCTCGCGCTCAAGACGCTCAATGTGCTCTTTCGTTCTAGCTCTGATGGCGCGCTGTGCTTCTCTGTCATTGGCACGCTTACGCGCAAGCTGGGAGGGCGTCAAGGTTGAGACGCTTCTGGTGCCTGTTGAGGAAGGCGTCCAAGTCAATATATTGTTCGTACATGAGAACGTGGAAGGGGACGATGGTGGTAGAATAGGAGCTAAGGAGGGAGGTGGGGGATGATCGAGGCGAAGACGGCAGAAGGGTAGAACCGCATAACCGCCGCCGTCGTCGTCGATATCTCATGAGGGGTGCTGGTGATGCGTACCCTTGCGCTTGGTGGGCTTCGTAGGCTCTGCGGAAGCTGATCGTGTCATGTTGTCGGCAGCGTACTTCTCGTCGTGGTGTGCAACAACGGTAATGGTGACAGGTCTGGATCGAGTATTGGCAACGGCAGTATGGGCCATGCTCTGAGGCAGAAGACTGAATGTAGGAAGAGAGAGACGGGTCTGGCGACGAGTTGAAGTTGTTTGTTGTTCGAGTTGTCAAGGCAGGGATCAAATCAAGAGGATCGAGAGGAGCGCATCTTGGAGTTATAAGATCTATTGACGACAGGAGCAGACACAAGAACAGGCCCTTCGAATGCCGGCGGCAAAGTAGTTTCAGGGCAGCTAGGAGAGACGAGTACATCAGTACGAAGGTACGTACCGGAAAGAGCATGGATCTAGGGGGTAGAGAAGGAGACAGGGCCAGTGACTTTTGGTAAAGGTTGAGGGTGAAGAGAGACAAGACAAGCAAGAGGAGGAAAAGGTACGTACTACACCGTACCGCTACCTCCTAGGTCCAGGAAGGGCACTAGAACTAGCAGTACATAAGGTAGGGAAGTCTGGAGCAGGGGTTCGATGGGGATGCAAGCATCCGGGCTAAAGCAGCCCAGTCTCGAGGGCAAGGACGTGGGACAGTACCGTGAGTGAGGTGGTAGGTAGGGGTGTGTATTCGTAGGTGTAGGGTAAGAATGGAAAGGATGGCAGAGCAGAGAGATCACGCCGCGTAGAAAGTATCCAAGGAGCCGTAGGTACAACAGGCCCCAAGTGCTTCGAAGACAGAGGAAGGGTCGAGAGTATCGGTGAAGAGACGTAACTTGGCACATGACAGTCGATGTTGGGCACAGACATGGCGCAAATTACTAACTCACTTGAGAACAACTTACAGATCTCCCAAGGATGGGCTGGGGGATGGAGGGGAGTGGCAGGGGTCTGATCAGAGGAGAGGGACAAGACAGTGGCAGGGAACATGGGAGAAGGCGAAGAAGAGGACGAAAGAAGCGGACGAGGCAAGGCAGCGAGCAGGACGGGACCGGGGGGGTGGGAGTTACACAGATTCACTCGACTGCAGCGATGTAGACATGTACCTCTTGACTGCCAGTTACCCATCGGCCTCGACGGGGCAGGGGGTATGAAGAAGGAGGGGGTGTGGAGGCTGGAAGGGGTGGATGGTGGTCAGAGGGGGGCGTGACGTGAAACCAGGGGAGGCGTGGGGGACGACCTTGTGTGAGGTGAATCTAGGAGAACAACAGATGTGAGAACTGCGAGATACCTCTTTACCTTATGTAATGTGATGGATGGGCCACCACATTCGCATGCCTGGGATACGGGTGCTTTTTTTTTTTTTTTTTTGCTGCCTGTGCCTCATAGTCAGAAACTACGTGTTTTGACGCGGAGGCAATAAGCTTCTTCAAGTTACTTTGAAGGTGTAACTAGTCGCCGCGGAAATCGAGCGAGGAATTGCTGCGAGCCAGATTCCGCCGCTGTGCCGGTATCCAGGCTGGGCAGCATTCTTCCCCCAAAACCAAAGAACGTTCGCTCGGTTAGGTTTTGGGTTTGTCTTTCCTCTGGTCCTCGTTGCGTCCGTCTGGACACTGGAGAGAGGGAGAGAGAGAGAGCGGGCGAGCGAGAGATGGGGCAGGGTGACGGGAAGGAAGTGCTCTCTCTCTCTCACGGATACTATATCTGCAGGGGGAGATCCTCAAGCAGTAGCAGTCGATGTGGGTGGGCAACCTCCTGCCCCGTGATTGTGGCTCTTGCTGGCTCGAGTCCGACTCTCGATCTCAGCGAACGGGTTCCCGGTGGGGTTGCTTATCCGTACCGCAGGTAGGGAAAGGTAAACGGGGCCAAAGGTAAGTAAGGCAAGCATAGAGTTGGGAAAAGGTTAGCTGCTGCTGGGCTGGGTGAGGTGACGAAGGGCAAAGCCGGCAAGGAACGGGCAAAGCAAGGCAAGGCAAAGCCAAGGTTACAGGAAAGGAAAAGGTACCCAGGTGCCTTGTCGGATCCGTTGAAGTTGACAACCAAATCAAACTCCGACTCCTCCTCCCGCACTTGACCTTGTATGGTCTTGCGGATTGCCTTGCCCTGCCATGGCCCATAAACGCTGCTATACCCTCCCATGGGTCATGGGCCATGGACCATGGCCCTGTCCTGTCCGCCTTATCCATAAATGCGTATGAAGAGGTGGGCTCGTTGAAGAAAGACGAGATAATCCCGTCTGGGCTTACATATTGCGTTGACCTGACGGCTCGGAACGGGGGGGCCTTGCAAGGCGGGTGACGAGTCCTGTTGAATACCAGCATCTACGAAGACGAACGAGGAACTTTGAAAAGCAACAGTCCCGTCCGGCTGATGCTCGGAATAGCCACACCCATGGCATGTCCATGGCGGCATGGCCTGTGTGTGGCCAGCCCATGGAACGCCCAGACCAAGAAAGGTGAGTTAATCTCCAATACCTATCTCGTTCAGTCCGTATTGTGTACGCCGTGTGCATTCGTAGAATTGAGGGGCGGAAAAAGACATGTCCAGATCCCTCGGAGGCTGGAGTTTGGGGTGATGATGATGCGTGTTTGGTTTGACCTGGGTTGACCTCAATCCCAACCCGAACACCCACCACCATCCGCGCGCAATGTCGTCCCATTCTACGAAAGGCTTAGGTTGAAGAAGAAGAAGAAGAAGAAGACGGAGAGCCAGCCAGGCGTGCCAGTGCTGGTGCCAGTGCCAGGCCAGGCTGAGCCAGTAGGGCCACACGGCATAAGCCTCAATTCTGCTCGAGGCTCAGCACTGCTGCACCGCTGCATTTGCTAACGCATGCCCAGCAGCCCATGGAAACCTTCGGCCAGCCTCCGATGACCGGGGGGTTTGCGATACAATGACGAAATGATGTTTTTTTATCCTCTCTTGCCGCGCCGACAGGCCTTGTCATCTTGGAGTACTCCGTAAGGGTTATCACCTACATACGGATGCTAGAAAGCAGTCAAGGGCCAAGGCGTATCCGATCCGTACGGGGTAAGAGAGAGACAGAGAGAGCAAGTGTACTTCTGTATCTTTCGGACCCGGAAAGCACCAATGGGCAGCAGAGCGCAGACGTGCGGCCGTGGGCGGGAAGTGCGCGCTCAGGGATGGTTTAGCAAAACACAATCGCAGACACTGCCCATATGTGATGTGAGGGTGTGAGTGGTCGATGAAGTAGGCACGAAGAAGTGTGTGTATCCGAGAAGGGAATGGAGGAGGATGAACTCGCTCTCTGTCTGAGTGTCGAATTGATTGTGGGCACACACACACACCGGCCGAACATTCGTATACTACCTACTACACTCACACTCACTCATACAGACACACACACACACACACACACACATACACAAACACGCGCGCGCGCAATAGATGAGGAGAGGCTTGTCGAGTTCCATTATGAGTTAACCGGGAAGTGAGTGAGGAACAAAAGGTGAAGTGTGAGGTGAGTGTGTGAGGACCAGGGGCCCGTCGCCGGTGAGGTCAGTCGGGGCCCAGAGGGAAACTGTGGGAAAAGGTGGAGAGATACCTTACGATAGGTGAAGGGGGTGGTACGTATCCACTATGCGAGAAATAAACTTTACGCTAAAGCCAGATCTGTCGTAGTTTGGTGGGCGCCGATACGCGGCCCAGCGGCGACCACAACAGCCAGTAAGAAGGCCAGCATCGAGGGAGAGACAGCGTATTAAAGTGGCCTGCTACTGGATACCTAAGTCCTCAGGTACACCATTATCGACCGGGGAGAGCAACAGCACTGAACAGCTCTGAACAGCACCTCACCCTCGAACTCGAAGCCCCTCTTTCTCTTTCTTCCTCTTCCTCTTGCTCTGTTTCTGACACTCTGTAAGGGCTGCGACCAGGCTGGTGCTGCTGCCGCTGCTGTCATCTCGTGCTCAAAAACATGGCATTGGAGGAACTTCGTCGTCGGTACGTACCCGACTGCCATGATCTATCTCTACCTACCTACAATTCCTGGGCCCGGCACCATGCAAGTTGCACGGAAACCTGCTCCCACTTCGCTGCTCCGGCGGCGGCCAGCCCGACCGGTACCTTGTCCCCTCCACTACATCCAACCGTAACACGCTTGTCCCTTTTGAGAGGGGGTCTTCTTGCGGCCTGCCATGGGGCCATAGGCCATGGCTTGTGTCGTCGGCCGACTTTGGGGGGATGGGGGGAAGAGCTGCGTGGTGTGCGGGCAGTAAGATTGGCGTATCCGTACGGATAGGCAGACCGCACTTACCTTACGAAAAGAACCGAGAAACTCTACGGAGTAGCTAGCCATCTCTATATTTTCGCATTCGAAGCGACGAACAGCAATAGCCAATTTGGGCAGTTCGCAAGATTTGGCACCATGTGGACAAGAGGCTCCAGAGTAAAAAAAACACAAATGCCCGCCGTCGGCCCTTCTCACTCAAAGGGCGCGATACAAAGTGGTGTCATAGAACCTCGAGGGGTCTCCTACCTAGTAACTGTAGCAGAAACCGTTTGCCAAATGGAGTATTCCGGTGCGGAAACCCTACCTAATCTCACCTAGTCCACCTCCACTGGCACAACATCCTCCGTCCAGACGTACGCAGTACACACCACCTACAGGCTACACAGTAGAGAGGTTGGAGCCACTGGCGTATCGATCGCTAGTGCATTGCGTCGCCCCTTTGGAGAGGGAAAAAACAAAAAAGAGAGAGCCTTGGGTCCATCTTCTGAGGCCTTCTAGCACCTCCATTGCATAGCCATGAGAATCCATACCTAAGACGAGAATTGCGACCTGACGGCGGCGGCGGCGGTTTCGAATGGCGTGTTCGGGCCTAACGAACAAGAGAGACAGAGACATTCTAGCTCGCCGACCAGAAACATTGAATACCAACCGCCCTGTGCCATCAGTGCCGGAGCCATTGCCAGGAACTTATCGGCTCACCCGCTTCACATTCGTCGTCCGTCTTGTCTGGCGACATTTCTAGCTTTCGGTGAGCCACGCCGCGATGACAATTCATCCAACGGCCAAGACGGTCTTTGCAGCTAGCACGTCCGAAGATCGGATCCAAACTGTACCTGGCCTAGATTTCACGACGGCTCTCCAGCCTCGTCGCCCAAAGGTCCCCAGGGCCTCCAGTTGAGCCCCGATCGGTTCCGTTGGACACATGCCCACTATCGAACGGCTTCCTCGGATTCCGTCGTGGGTAGGCCACGCGAAATTGAGATATTCTTGTCTTTTCACCGCTTTCGAATTGGCTGGCTTGGAAAATAGAATTGGGCATGAGAAAGAGAGCGGCGACGGCGCGCGCACACACTCACACACACACACACACACACACACACACATGCGGTACACCTCCATGTTGCGACTGAATGGCGGCGTCCATCATGGTCGTTCCAATCATCGGACCTGGTTCCGGTCGCCCAATCCCACAGGATGCCGCTACTGAACTGCCGTTGTCAATCTTTTTCCCCGATTGCTCTATTCCGCCTTTCGGAATGCAGACTCATGAAGGTTGGCGCATACGGCACCCCTGGTCACATTTTGTCTGCAAGTCGCAGTCTCTTGCGATTGAACGTTAGTAGATGTGAGCCCAGCAACAGCAGCACGGCCGGCCGACCAACCGACCACACAAGGCCAAAGATTTGGGGGTGTTGTCTTCTCCCTGGTTGCCGAGTCTTATGTCGGCATCCTGTCTCACTTTTTCAGCTTCGCGGCACGCCCTTCTGACCGAGCCAACTTTGATTCAGCGCGGTCAGCGTCTTATTCGCAGAAACATTCGCTCTCGCGGTGCGGCGTGTTGACCTCCGCCAGATAGGTACGGTATGCACAATCGACCGAATGCCTGTCCTTGGCTGCCTGCCCAGCGAACCCGAGATCGCCGCTGTCAACGCGTCCTGGGCCGGATTTTGCACGTGTCTGCAACTCTGCGTATGTGTGTGTGTGCGCGTGCGTATGTGTGTCTATGTTGCTTCTCGTCCATTGTTTCTTCTTTGCTTTTTTCCCTTGGTCTTTTCTTATTCTGTGGTGTGCGTCCTCCTGCTTCGGTGTGTAGGAGAACTCTCGGGTTGCGGTGTGAGAACTTGAGATGCGCACAGGTACTGAAGGGCAATGCGCCGGCATCCTCTCTGACATGCATGGCGGGCTTCTCGAAGGTCCATGGAACTCTTCTGTCTGGGTTCTGCATTGCATCGGGCGTTCGCATTTTTCTTCTAGCCTCTCGTCGTCCCAGGGTCATGTCCGAGGACACCACCATCGCGATGAGTCTGGCGCATCGTCGAAGAGGCGAGAAGGAAAAACGAAGCATGGGCTGTCGCCGAGCTGGATTGCGATTCACAGGGTTTCCAAGCTGGCGGGATTGTGGCGTTTCGGGGGGACTCCCTCCCCTTTTCGAGAATGGGAAGTCTGCTGATGTGACTGAGGTTGATCTGTTGGTTCTCATCTCCCCGCGCCCAAAAAGTCTCACTCTACCTGCCTACTGGGTTCAGTGATTAGTACTTTGTAGATGTTCCCAGCTGTCAATTAGTTCTTGTGTTCCCCCAATCGCGGGGCAAATGACCCGTCTGGCTCTGGCGGCCCTCCCTCGTTGTTCCTTCTTCTCCCTGAGGGGGCCCTGCCGCATTTGCTTCTCATTCTTCCCCAGCCTGATCGTCCGGCGTCGTGAATTCCAGCAGTTTGGTCGTACAAGGCGTCTCGTGCCGGCCTCCCGAAGCTGCACGCATTTTTGTTCGTGAGATGCGATCGCTTGCGAGTTATGTCATAGGCGTTCGGTCGTTGGTTGACGAGGGGGTTTTCGGACAGGGCGAAAGGCGTCGAGAACGTCAACAAAGCAAAGAGGGCATCCGGAATCAGCGATTTTATGAGTTATTTCGGGGTGGGCTTAGCAATGCCGGCCCGGGGGTGATGAACCCCTGATGAATGCCGTCTCGTCGGCGCAATATCCAGTTCGGATCTCTGTTATGTCAATTCTGACTCAGAAAGCCGGCCGTTGTATGTTTCGTTTCCTCTGTTAATTCCTTTGGGGGGATACCTGTTAGACCAATGAGGCCGGAATCCCCAGAAGAAAAAAACAGGGCCTGCAGCAGACCCTGCTTGTAAGACCCGGCGCTGTGCCTGGCATGCGCCGGGCACCCTCCCCTCATCCTCGAAAGCCTCGAAGCTCCAGCTGGTTAGGGTGTGTCGGGGTGTTAGGGCAGGGCGGGCCAGCTGAGAGCAATGGGGGGGAGGAGTGAGAGTGAGGAGGAGGGGGGAAGGGGAGGGGAGGGGGAGAGCTGTCTGGCGGTGGGAAACGGCGGAAATCTCTCCGGATTCTGAGAACGAGGTACCGGAACTGCAGAGGTACCTCGACCAGGTCCAGTACTCCAGCGCCTCCTTGACCCAAATCCAGGCGATACATGCGCTAGCAGCCTAATGATGGCCGCTTTTTCTTCCGAATCAACCAATCACTGGCTCAACCGGTGCTCTGCGGATCTCGCTCCGTAGTGTACCGCAATACAAGTGCCAGGGCCAGTGACTTGGCATTTCCGGGCTTATGGTCTGAGTGTGGTGTCGGCTGCGGGAGAGACAGTGAGACTCCAGAGACCCTGGACAAGTGCGAATCCTTTAGACTGGGACTGTCAGCGGTCATTCCGTCACGTACGGAATTTCCGCACAGAATTTCCATTCGACTCCCAGTAATGGACATCATGTACATCATCGCGCATCTAGAACCTTGTATGTCTCTGACGAAAGAAAATTGATATTGAGCCATGTTTGGCGATGCCCCTGTACAATGCAGCAGGAGTGCAGGTATGCTCAAGCAGAGCTTTCTATTCGTAGCTGTATCTTTGTTGTTACGAAAGAAAAAAAAACTGGTCGTAAATGCCTCAACCCGGGGTATCGAATCGTCCCAAATCCAACAGAGAACGAGATCAGTGGGGTCAATTAATCGGTCCGTCCGGGACCATGTTAAATGCTGTTTTATGTTTGTTCTCGCCGTACATATTCTCAGGCGACACTTTCAGGGTCTGCTTCTGCCGCTGGGTCTGCGTCTGGTACTGCCCCCACCAGCTCTTCGAGTCCTCCGACCTCCGTTGGCCCGTTAATGCCGTCCGGAGGAAGGGCCCACGCGGGCATCGGACTGGTGTAGCTCCATGCCCCTCCGGCATCTTCATAACGGAGGCTGTGAAGCCAGAGCGAAAGCTCGTGCTCGCCGGGGTCTGTGTAGAGCGGCGTATCGCAAACGTCGCAAAGCTCTCCTGATAGCTTTTCAGCCCTTCTCTTCTGGTATAGGTCCACCAGTTCGTCGTGATAGGCCACAGCGTCGGCGATATCTTGTTTGCCCATCCTTTCTAGGCGTGACATGATGTCTTCATCCGTGTTCTCGACTGCATCCGAGTCGTTGCATCCCAAGTTAATTCCCCAAACTCTTTGGTTCGCATACAAGGGGTCGTTCTCGATGGGATGCCCAACAAATTGCAGATGCACGCGGATCTGATGTGTTCTGCCGGTCAAGGGCAGGCAGCGAACGATTGAGTAGCCCTCTTTCTTGATCCAAGGCCGGCGTTCCTCGTCCGCAAGTCGTTCCGCGCTCTTTGGCTCTGCTGCATCCGAGTCATTCAGAGTGTCCGGCGGGTAGTAGGCCAGACGTTTGAAGACGGTACGGGCCGACTTTCCGTTGGCTCGCACGCGGTTGAGGCCTAGTCGCGGGGATATTTGGAGGATAGGCTGATCGCAGACAATCTCGCCATCAGGAAACTTTCCAGCAACGCGCGCCAAATATTCTTTCCGGACCGTATGAGCTCTGATTTGAGCAGTGAGCTTCACTGCTGCCTGTGGTGTCTTGGCGACGAAAAGAATTCCACTGGTGAGGCGGTCCAGGCGATGGCACGGGTAGGGCAGGAAATGCTCGCCTCGCTCAGACTTCATAATCTCGATAAGTGTGTTGTACTTGTATCTGCCAGCAGGGTGGACCGGTACGCCGGATGGCTTATTGACAACGATCATCTCATCGTCTTCGTGAATGACACGAATCGGCTCGCCTGTGACAGGGGGCTCATGGCGATGAATTGTGTGATTCACAAGGTCTCCATTCTTGACCAGATGATCCGGGCCGACTGCCTTTCCGTTGACAACGATGGCTCCGGTTTCCATGGCATACCGGTAGTACTCTAGGGTGCGGTCCCTGAACTCATCCTCAAAAATATCGATCAGCTTCCGACCGCGCCAGCGTTGCTTGGCCCAGGTGTGGTAGGTAAAGTGATAAGGAGCAACTCTACGGAGACCGTCCTCGAAAAAGTAAGGTCGAGGCCACATATCGCCGGTAGGCGTCGTCAAGACTTCAGGCAGCTCATTGGAAGCTTCAGACGGTTGGGCACCCGGTAGCTTGGCTGGTTCAGCAGCGGGAGCTGCAGCCGACGGCGGGGTTGCAGCCGACGTTGGTGCCGTTTGATCAGAAGCCATGGCAGGCATTAGAGATTCCCGTCGGAATGGCAGCCTTGCCAAGGACCAAACTGAACGCAAGAGGGTAGCCAGGATTGATCAAGTAGTCAGTCTGTGAGACGTGGTGTGCGATAGTGTAAGCAATAAGTGGCGTATTGTGGAACTGTGCGAAACTTCGACTAGTCGTAAGTAAGTAGTGTTTGAGAAAGTCGCTTGCTACTTGCCTCGAGGAGCCTGGATATCAACTACTACTAACAAACTTTGCATGCGTAGTGAAAGGTATCTCGAAAGAGTCACAAACTCTTGGCGGTCAGCCATGGCAGAACTTTGCTGAAGTTGGATTTTTTGGTGGGCGGGATCGGGAAAGGTGGATCAGCAAAAGCGTGATTGGTCACTGGATTAGACCTTGTGTGATTACATAATCTCAGCTGGAGCTTACCATTTTCCGGCTAAGGTGATCAGCACCCCTGGGCAGGTATTCCGGCTCTGAACCAAATAGGTCTGCCGACATTGGTGATTGGCTCCTGTAAAGTCGGCGGCAACATGACATTCTGCCTCGGCTCAGCTAGGAAACCTACTGTGCTACAAGTTAACTGCGGCAATCAAAAGTCTCAACAATTTCTCCGCAACTCTTAGTGGGAAGCTACGAAGGCTTCTTCATCGAAAGGTTTAAAGTCGCGAGCTGAACCACAACTCAATCGAGAAAAGTGCCGATAAGGCAATGCGCGTTTACCAGTGACGTCCGACTGAGCATCATCCATCTCTTGTCCCTCTCCTGTGTCTCTGAGCCAATACTACCCCAGCAAGGGCCAGTACCTTCGGCATCGCCGCCTACGACGTGCTCCAAATATCCGATCTCTCTCCATCATCTCACAAAGCACCGCCATGGCCAGCAACAAGCAGTTAAAGCAGCGCCGAAGGGGGGACTATGGGTACATCCTAGACTACCGGACACGATGGTGAGTTTACCTCCATCCCGCCATGGTTATCACAAGCTGTCATTGCGGCTTTCATTTCTACCTACTCCTCGGTGCCTCTCATTCTCCCTGCTATACCTCGAAACGGAGGGACCGAGCCCATTCCTCGCAAAGCTTCAAGGAGGGGCTTGTCCGTGCTGCAAGCGGACGCCCGCCCTCCTATCCTCTCTTTCGCCAACCTCTCACGCCTATGGTGCAAAGGCGAGGGCGCTCTTCGCAGCGTATCAGCAGCCGTCATCTTCTCATCATTATCATCCCCTCACACTTCGCTTTCATTCGTCTACGCTTTTGCTGCTTGGGCAGAGATTGACAAGGTTTCTTAGGGCCGATAATGATATGTATCAGCACATGAACAATAGCGTCTACAACTTCCTGTATGCTTCTGTCGATCAAGCTAATGTCCGCGCGGCGTCCGGCTAAGAAACTGCAGATACGACTCCGTAGTCAACGCCTACCTGATCGAGCATTGCGGCCTGTCTCCCTTGCGTTCTGGTCAGTACGGCCTTGTGGTACACTCACACAGCGACTACTTTGCTTCGATTGCGTACCCCGCAGTCGCTCAATTAGCGCTGCGAGTGAACAAGTTGGGGAAGTCAAGCGTCACCTACGAAATTGCCTTGTTTGAAAAGGGAGTGGACGAGGTGAGAGCAGTCGGGGAGTTTACCCACGTCTTTGTCGAGAGATCTACCGGTCGTCCAACCGCATCCGGAATGGAGGACGAAATGCGGAGGGGTCTACAGCGACTTCTGGTGGTGGATGGCAGGGAAAACAAGCTCTAAATTGAACTCTATCACCCACCCACTTGTACCATGGAGCTTATCGCCTAACAAATTCCTCTACCAGTTTACAGCTGCAAGCTCAGCTTTTGGATTGCGCCATCCTGCTCACCACTCGTGAAGATCTTCTCGAGGAACTCCAAGTCCGCCAGCGCCTCCTCAGCTGATTGCAGGGGGTTGGGTGTCCCGGCGGCCAAACCTTCAGCCCAGGCCTTGACCTCCTCCTTTACACCACTCGTCTGTTCAAAATGAGTTGTTGTTGCCTCGCCGTCAAAGGGCTTGACGGTGAGATCGTGACTCGACAAGGTCACACTGCCGTTCTCGCCCGCCACGTGGAAGTCGAAGGCACTCAGGGTTGAGCCAACACTGACGGCGAAGGAACCAGTGGCGCCCTGCTTGGTCTTGACGACGGCATTAATGGTGTCAATGGGCGGCAGGTGCTCCCGGGTCAAGTCCGAGAAGGCGGCAACTGAGGCCGGCGCCGCGTCCTTGCCGAGCAGAAGGCGAAGGGCGGCGGCGAAGTGGACGCCGCCGTCGAGGAGAAACCCACCCTGGTAGTCGGGCTTCTTGCGCCATGCAGTCTCAATGTACTTGCCGCCCAGTTTCACGAAGAAGAAGACTCTCACGTTGAAGCCAATGACTTTTCCCAGCTTCCGCACCTCGTCTCTTGCCGTAGTGTACCGGGGCTGGAAGCGGTAGTTCTCGGCCACGGCGAAGGTCACGCCCTTTTCGGCGGATACCTTCTTATAGTATTCAATCAGCTCCTGCGCACGAGCAATATCTGCGGCGATAGGCTTCTCGGCTAAGACGTGCTTTCCTGCAGCAAGGGCCTGCTTAATGTAATCGGGCTGGTTCAGGATGGGCAGGGCTAAGATGAGAGCCTGGATGTCATCACGGGCCAAGAGATCCTTGAAGGACTTGCCCTCGCCCGCGTCGTCAGAGTACAGGTCAGGTGAGGCTGACTTGGTGACGAGCTTAGCCGTGTCCTGGGCAGACTTGAGAGAGCGAGAGAAGATGGCCTTCAGGGTGAGGTTATCGCTTGCTTCCACAGCAGGCTGTTTGGATAGTCAGTGACCACGAGACACGCGGGTTCCGCGGACGGGCAATATCAGCTAGGTAGTTGCCTTACCAAATGCTCTTCCTTGGCAAAGATGCCTCCTCCAACAATGGCTACGCCGATGGGGGCCATGGTTTCTCAGATATATCGTTCGAGATTAGATGCGAGCCGTGCGGAAGGCCTGAGTCAAGCAACTGTAAGGCAAAGTGTATAAAAATAGAAAAGTACAGGATAATTTCTCGATCTGAGGTGAAGGGAAGAGGTTGAAAGAGAGAGGGATGAAGGATCAAAATGATTTATTTGTTTCAATTCAGTTGGGTTGTCTTCCAGACAATTCCTTATTTGTCCATGAAGGCGTGTTGTGCAGTAGCCAGGCACGCAAGCAAAGCCATCATCAGCTTTCTCATCCAATACCTGGGAAGCTTCGTGATGGTAGTGGGGTTTTGTTGGCGGGGTCGGAGAGCCCTGTGGCACAACCGTCTCTCAGCAAATTGATGGAGATGATGAGACACTATCTAAGACTAGTGGGAGACATGGCTGGTTCTGTTAGCATATTAATAACAGCACCCCGCTCGAGAGTAAGAGCCTTACTCTTTTGGGAAAGTATAGCAGTTGACTAGTTGGGGACCTGAGTTCCTGCCAAATGCGCCCTGCACCGGAAGGTACAGACGGGGATGATGTTTTGATGAGGTCGGATAAATCCAATGGAAGGCAGGCACCCAATACAGATGAGGCTGCAGCTTGTGAGATTCCAAGTATCATGTGCGACAGGTGTGATTTTTGCAAGGAAAAAGTCTACTGGATAGGTAAGGTAATACTCAAAGAACTGCTTGTGATCATAAGTACATGAATCATCTCATACAACTTGGCTACTCATATTTGCTCATATAAATCATCTCCTGATTTGTTTCCTTCCTGCCGCTTTCCGGCTCCGCATCCCGGTGTTCGGCTCCGTTTAACTACCGTTCTTTTCATACCGTACCGGAGGCGGTGCTTTCTGATTCAACCTCGTCGTCGCTGCCACTGTCGTCCAGTCGGTCGATGGCTCGTTGGCACTCCTTCTCCCACTTACTAAATCCAACAATGACCCATTCCAACGCCCCGACCAGATACAATGCAACACATTGTCCGATCCACAAGCCGGCGAGACCCCAGCCATGAAAGGCGAGGTAGATGCCGGCGGGGAGAGCTCCACCGTAGTAGCTGACGAGGTTCACCACAGCCCCGACCCACTGACGGCCCATGCCTCGAAGGGCACCACCACACGATCCGTTTAGACCGTCTGCTATCTGGAAGAGTGCGACGTACGGCATCACTTCGCCAACGAGCTGCACCACCCGCTCATCGTCGTTAAATATCTTGCCGAACACATCCTTCGTCGCCATGAGCACAGTAAGAACCACACTCCCGAGTATCACGGACAAGATTGCTGCCGAGTGTGCTGCTATCGCCGCGTCCCGAGGCCGCTGCGCTCCCAGCAGATTTCCTAGTCTTGCCGATGCTGCTACCCCAAGACCGAAGGGAATGGTGTTGATAATTTGGTCCGCCGTCATGATGACAGACTGGGCAGCCAACGGAATAGTGCCAAGTCTCCCGGCAGCCAGGGCCACAATCTCGAAAGCCCACCACTCAGTGCCAACATGAACGACTCCAAGAAGTGCAAGCTTGGAAAAGGGCCCAATATTTCTGATGGCTTTCCGAAGCTCCAGACCACCCCAGCATTCCTTGCCGCGGACGAAGACTGCATAGGCAACTAGAAGGAGAAACGATACCCAGTACGAGATGCCTGTGGCCAAGGGAGCACCATACAAGCCGAGACCGAAAGTGTGGATGAACAGATAGTTGAGCCCGGCGTTCATCGGAGATGTAATCAACAGCACATACGTGCCTGGGCGGTAAATCGCTGTCACATTTACGTCAGTGCCGTCATCTATTTCTCTCCGTCCTTGACTTTCTCGAGGTGGCACTGAGGGGCCTTGACTTACCTTGGGCCTGCAAATACTTCTTCATGGCCTCGAACCACACGTACCCCAATCCGCCCGGGATCAGGCATCGCAAAAACGCCGAGCTTTGCACGCAGATGAACTCTTCTTGGCCCAGCGCCCGGAACACCGGTTCGGAAAACCACCAGAGCACTGCCACCACAGCATAAAATGCCGACAAGACAAGGATGCCTCTCTGCAAAAGGATGCCCAAGTCGTGCTTGTTCGAAGATGCCGTGAAGCTACTCGACGCAAGAGTGTCGAGCGCTGTCGTACCACCGAGGGCAATGAGCCAGGCTGTCGCCATGGCGAACATGTAGCTGAAGGCAGCGGTGGCGAGTGCTTCCGGGCTCAGTCTGCCAACAATAAGAACGCTGATGGTTTGCAGGCTATTCTGGAGCGTGTACGCCAGGATAACTGGGACAGCGGCTTTGGCCAGCAAAAGTATTTCGGCCAGCCATAGCCGGACTGCGTGGGGTTCTTCCGACTTGACCGCCGGGGGCTTCGGTAGCAATGCCGTAGTCTCGGACCGGGACGACATGGAGGGCGGGCCCAGTGTGTCGGCCGAGGATGTGTCCGACATTGTGGTTCTTACTCGGATTGCGACCGCTTTCTATCAAGCTCGATGTCACTCCGGAAGCGGTGGTTGTGGAAAACCCACCCGACTGTCGAATCCGTTTTCCGAATGTCGATAGGAGAGACTGCAGACGCGAGTCAAGGGACGAAGCAGATGAGACAATCCGAGGCTAGCGGTGCACCCAAACACCAAAGTGTATGCTGGCGAATCTCCAAAACTTAAGGGAGGGAGCGAAGGTTCAGATGATCAGATGTCAAAAAATAAAACGAAAAGGACAGCGGGACACGGCTCAGCATTGTATACAGCATTTTTCAAAACTCCATCTTGCGACCCCTCCCCATCCCAGGCTGGTCTCGAAAGTTCAGACACAAGATAGCTGACAAGAGCTATTTGCCACGCGCAATTGGGCCAAGTTTGCAACTCCAACGACGGACAATTGACTTTGCTCACCTCTCGCGAGGCATGCCTGGTTCTCATCGCGCGGGGAGAACCCCTCAATCGATGGGCAAAGATTGGACAGCGATTAGTCTGCATTTCGGCCGACATGAATTTATTTCCACGCTTGCGAGGGTCTACGTGGGCGAGAAGGACGTTAGACAGCGGACCGTTGACTCTGAGTGGCTGCATCAATTATCGCACGGCAAATGGCCCATCCGAACTGACGCAATGGATGAGGTCGGATTTCTCGAAGGAGCAAGCGGCTTACATTGTGCGCAGTTGCTGCGACTCTGCCCTACCTACTTATTGTCTGGCAATGCGGCGGCCACCTTGATGAGTACCAAGAGATTCGGTGGCCCAATCTGCCGGAAATGCGAATCGTGCATACACCGCATTCTTCAGCGCGCTAAGCCAAGAAGAGGAGCCGAAGCTCAACCAATGCAGATTCTCTTATCTCGCATCTTATCCGTGGACCGAGGATAGCAACGGCTTACCTAAGGAACAATGGCTCAAGGCACTGGCAGTCAGTCTGGCAGTCTGGTACCGGCACCGGCCCTGGCAGCGGCGGGCAAGGTTGGCAAAGGCTTCGGTGAACAAGCAGCGGGAAACGGCCGACACCGGTATCGGGTCCAGGTTTGCCGGCCGAATGGAGGTGGGGGGACTCTGGGGGGCAGATGCAAGAAAAAAACCAAAAACAAAAAGGGCTGACGGGAAGAGGGGGCGTTGTCTTATCGGCCAGTCGCATTGCTTCCAATCTACGAGTGTTCCGCACGGGATATCATCGCTTCACGCCAGCACCGACTGGTTCCCTAGGTACTTTGCTATGCTGGAGGACTTGTCGAGGTCAGAGCGCGCAAGTACCCATTGGAGCCATCTCACTTTACACCCATCTCAAGATCTTCGCCGCAGCGAAAGACCGGCGGCCGACCTCATGACCGACGAGACTGTGGGCATGAGAGGAGAAAGGGGGAAAACAAGTCTTCAACTTGCATTGGTGCAATACGAGAGTGGACATGGAACAAATGGAGCAGCTCCAGAAGACACTCTAGAAGAACCTTGGTCCAAAAGAGGGAAAAATCGAGACCATCTTCAGAGTATCAAAGCGCAATGGTCGACCGCCAGGCGAGTTCGACAAACTTGGGTAGAGGCACGAGAGCACGAGGGTCCATGGTCAAGGATTGATGGGCGCCACCATCTTGGACTAACATTGACATTATCGCACAGAGCATTAACGATGATCAAGCTTTAGACACGGAAACTTCTCGAAAACAGCCGGAATAGTCTTAGCTACTGGAATAGAAGCTATCCAGCCTAGCTGTAACGACGGTTGCGGCCAATGGACGGCACGCGCAGGACTAACGGGACTCGATGCCATGTGTTTTCATGAGTCGAACTGGCCAGGAACAACGGCTTAATCTCATGCGACACGAGGCGACTTGAGTTGACTTCGACTTTAGATTTGAGCCAACCTGATTCCACATCGTCACTACTGCATTGATTGAGTCGAGCAAACGGCGAATACGGCAACGGGTTCAGGTTCAGCGATGGACAGTACGGATACTTCATACTGGATACCTTCGAATGCCTTACTTGGTGCAAGGTTGAGTCCTCTTTTCACAGAACGCATAACGGCGTCATACAGATCTCATGGTTACGGGTGAGAACCAACGCATTCTGCAGGGCCAAAGTTAAAGTCTAAATAGACGAACCCCGTCCCCTGCCCGGTCAGCGCCCGCGAAGCCCGTCAAGTCAGCCCGCCCGCCCACTGAGCGACATTGAGAGGGTGCCATTCTCTCATCGCATCTTGGACAGCAATCACACAAGGAAGATTCCCTGCCACCGCGGTGGCCGCAAGGTACAGATCAAAAGTTCAGCACGCCAAAGAAAAACGGAGTCTGATCTGACACAGGACGTGGCAGCCTTCTACGAGTACCTTGATCCATTCTTTGATTGGGAAAGGAATTCGTTCGAAACACGCCGTGGAACGTGGCTCTAAACTCTAAACCTTTCGTCGGGGAACCCTTTCGCCCGCCCCCCTTTCCACTGCCTACGTCCGGGACTGGGCTTCGAACAAAGTGAAGACGGCCTGTTCTCCTTCGACCAACGTTGGACATTGCAAGGTTCCGGATGCAATGTCTGTACCTGTGTTCTTCAGTGTACGGATACATTGCGACAACTCTTTTTCTCAGTCTCTTCCGCACCACCTTGATGAGCAGACGTCGTACAGTCACCCCTCCACACCATATCCGTGGGGAACCACTTCCTTCACTTTGCTCTTCCTTGCTCGTGGGACATCGCATTGCATACACCACCTCACGCAGTACAGCTACACGGCACGATTGCTTCCAGAGTTCCACACCACATGTTTTTCTCGCTCTCTTTCGCTCTTTTTGCCTTTGCATCCTTGATATTCACCCTTCACTATTCCTACGATCTGCATAGTATATCCCATCATACACCCTCCACCCTCCTCCTCACCTCTCCTTGCTACTTTTCCGTTGCTGAAGCTCTCACATGCGTCAAATCGAACTGAGGCTTTCCTGGCAGAGAATCATTTAAGCGGACGTTCGGGATCGACGCCGCCAATGCCTCTAGGCTGTCTCCTGCGGATATCTCCTGAACCCTTTTTTGGCTTCAGAGTTTGGACGTCACCTCCGGACGACGGAAGAGGAAACAGAACTGCGGGTGCGGAAATTCCGCTAGAACGGTTACACTTCAGAGTCCAACCGTCAAAAGGACCCAGCCCAGCCGCTGCCCCGGCAGAGAGTGCGGATGCTACGTATGGACGGGTTCGGGAGTGCTTCCTCTCCACTCGCCAACCACCGTCCCGAATCCGCCAGTCGCTCTGTACCGTGTACCGGAGGATGCGTGTCTCACTTCCGCATACGGGGTTTGTGATATCCGTGGTTGAGCTGGAGTTTGCCATTCATTCTTCCGTTCTACCGTTTGTCGGTCAGCCAGAACCGGCCCTTTGCAGTACGGATACCACTTCAGACGCACGAAGGCAACCTCGCTTCGACAGATAGCGTATCCGTACGAGCGTATCGTTTCCCGGGGAAGCGGTCGAACGGGAAAGGGGCGTACAAACGGTTTAGGGTTCTTCAGTGCAGCTTCTGGCACGTCCACGTGGCTTCCGGCAAAGTGAACGGACAACCGCCCGGCATCGCACTTCTCTGCGACTTCTCTCTTGCAGCATGGTCGCCCGTTTCATGGGGGCCTCGAACGCTGCCCATCCCGGCCGTCGCGAGTTACATGTTGCCGTCAAAAACGTGGGCAGCGTTGTATCAACCACAAGAGTGTCAGGAGAGAAATAGTCTGCTGGGCGCCCGCTGCTGGGACGGTTCCGCAAACTGGAACACTATACACACCCTGCTATGGGGGAGAGGAGCAGCAAGAGGAGGGGACTTTGAATCGTCACCCACTCTTTAGAGTTCGAGGCCGCAGCATTGCAGCAGGCCAGCCTCTCCCCCAGTACCCTCCCTCGTTCCCACCCTCTTGATGCTCGCTCGTCTTAATCCTGGTCTTTGGTCGAACTCTGCCAGCGGAAGGTGCAAGCGCTTTCCCCAGGAGTAATTTCGGAAGTCGGATCGTAGGGATTGTTGATGGGCATTTGGAAATGACGACGTTATGGCCCAGGTACGAAGTTACTGTTTCTTGCACAATTGTCGTGATGCCACAAAAACCACCTCCCTTGTACCCTGCCATATATTAAGTCCCCCCCCCCCCCCTCTGGGGCAGTTGCCCTGTCCGTAGGCCTTCTTGCCCCCTGTCTGTTCTTTTTTTCCTCTCCCAATGCTACCTTTATGCAGTAGCTCCCAGCAGCAAGCTGACCCCTGAGAAGAGACCGCTGCGCTACGGTGTTGCCGCCGGCAGCGTCGCCTTCTTCACCACCTCGTGGCAAGTTGAAGTCTTGCAAATCCCCGAGAATTGCAGGTTTGTTGTTGTCGCAGACGTTACGCTTATGGGTTGTCATTCTCGACGCAGAACGCAGTAATCTGCTTTTGCCAGTGGCCCCGTCCTTCACACCTCGACGATGGAGGGAATTGTTTTCCTTCGTTGTCGGGTTTTGTGACCTGCAATATGCGGCCGTGTCTCGACGTGTCCAGCAATATCCATGACTTTGCGGGAACGGAGTCTCTCCACTACAAAGGAGGAGTCTCTTCAGCAATCGTCGAGTGTTTCTTGGCTACACACCCACTCACCGCTCTTCGCGCCCGGAGCGCCGTCCTCCTCTTGCTGGATGCCGCTCCATCCCTCTCCTCCTCTACTCCTCCCTCTCCTCCTGCTCTCCCATGTCTTGGCCCTCGAGCCAATGCTGCAGCCGCATGCCAGTCGACGCGGCACCCATAGCCATTGCCCAGTTTTCCACTCCGAGCGTGAGGGTGCTGATCGTTAACATGTTTTTCACAAAGCGCGCATGCGGCGTCCGGTGGCATGCCGGCGCGATAGCCAGCATAATCCAGTGAAAGATGCCCACCGTGTCGTTCCATGTCGACAGGGGTACACGCCATGTCGTCGTCCAGATCTGCAGAAATTCTGATTCCGTGCATGTCCCGCTCAGCGGCGTCCGGGTCATGACGGCCCGCGTGTAGAGTAACGCTGTCATTCGGATAACCTGGTACATGAAGTCCGGACTCTGCTGGTGGTGGTATGCGGATCGAGGACTCGCCGGAGAATCGCTAGCGTCTCGGGTATGTGACTTGGTTGACGACCATTCGGATGTCGTGGAGTCGGAATTCGGGCCCGAAGGTGATCGGCCCGGGCCAACGGAGCCAGGTCCGGCGGCCGTACCTGTGCTAGACATACTCCCGCTCCGTATGGACTCTCCATCGAAGGCGGCGGAATAATTGCTTGCGGGTGGTGAATTCGTTCGAGTCGGAGGATCTGAGGACAAACTTTGGCGATGTCCAGGTATGGTTGAATGAAGACTGCTGATATGTTCATACATGTACTTCCCCATCGCTCGGGCCTTCAGTGAGGCTGAGTTTGTCGTTGCTGATGTCGTCGATTCATCATAAATCGCGTCGACGACGCTAAGAAGGTACTTCACATTGTCGAGTATCGAGGCCGTCGCCGGGTGGATGCGCAGACTCGTGGCGCAATCGGAGAAAGACGGGAGTGATCCGCTGCTCGGTAGATGTATCACCATGGGCGATAGATTCGCCATGCGGAGGGGGACGTCCTTTATAGGGTCGACGAAAGCGTACGCCGTCGCCAAGACCCGACGTGTAGAATTTGCCGCTCCTCCTGCTGTCGCTGACTCCGTCGACCCTTTGCATCCGCTTCCTCCGCCTTTACGGTCGTCGTCCGAAGGCGACAGAGTCAGTAGCAGTGGGCTGTTCTCGTGGGCGAGGGATATGGAGACATCGTGACTGTGCATATGAGTCAGTTCATCGGGAAGGTAAAGACGAGCCAGACGGGCATATCGTTTGTTGAAAGAGGATCCGTTCGCGAGTCAAACGAGTCAAGAGTCAAGGCCTAGAGCGAAAATAAGACCAGAGAGGGTCGGACGGACAAATGGAAACATGGTAAATAGGGCGGAAGATACTGCGTACGAGAAAAATACCGGAAAAGCAAAATAAAGGACGTAGTAAGAATGCGGCAAGTAAAATATACAAAACGTACAGACACGCGAATAAATGAGTAGCATTCATGAGCACACGACAAAGGCAAACATCAATCGTCAAAGGTATAATCAAAGTCGCAACAAGGTCAACCCAGAGAATATGCAGAAATCAGGACAGCAGAAAATGTCTACGCACACGATAGCGTTTTTCGCCAAGAGGCCGTCCATGCCGAGCTGATTGAAGCCGCCGCGCACTCTGATCATATCTCGCAAGCCCATGAGGTGGTACCTTAGGTCCTGGTCCGACTCGCCCCAGTACCACTCAGCCACGGTGAGCTGAATGACGCCGGCGATGGCCGCATCGCCGGGCTTTTGAATTGCCGGTGTGGTTGAACTGTTTGCGTCTGTTGCGGTCAACGCGGCGGTGTTTGACCCCGTGCTCTTGCTGTTGTCCGTGGTCAGGCTTTCGTTGAGCATAGCGATGGCTTGGCCTTTGTAAGTCCGCAGGACATCTGTCCGTACATCCCCAGTCTCGTGGAGGAAGCAGGCTGAGGTATAGAGAATGATCCGCATCACTAGAGGATCTTGAAGGCAGAAGGGGGAGTAATAACGTATAAAAGGATTGTTGGGGCTCGGGTCGCCATTGATAGAGGCTTTGAATCGAGAGAGAACGGCGATGTCTGTACTCGCATATCAGGATCATGGCTTTGGCAGATCAGGGGCTGTTTCCACTTACACAGTCTAAGCAATTTCTTGTTCAAGGGGCTTTGATCCACAGGTAAAAGTGCTATTTGCTCGTCAATACCGCTGGCTGGTCGCTCCGGGAATTGTACCCTTGACTCTGCTGGACGTGACCAAGGTCCAGGACTCTGTCCATGCTGCGGAGTGTCGTCTTCGTCATGGGCTGTTTCAAAGTTGTCAAAAATCAACTTTGGGACTGCTAATCGATGTGACAAGACTTGCTGCGATGCTTGGAAGATATCGACATCTAGTATACTACGATCGGGGTTGGCCAATGGAAGCCACGAGACTGACGGTGGAAGACATTCTGCATCGCTGTTGAGGAGCTCTGCCTCTGATCGATGTGCTCCAAGCGTAGATTGATATGTTGCCGGTTCCGAGCCTGGACTTGGATGTGACGTCGAAATACCTGATACAGCCCAGCCAGCGATAGAAGGACTCCCGAGCGGTCTTGCTGACTGAGACGCTTGTATCAGGGGAGAGCTTACTCCTGGTAGTGTTGAAAGAAAAGGACCACGACCTCCTGCCCTTGCTGGTGTCAAGAAGGTAGAAGTTCCCGGTATGCGACTGCTGTGGGATTAGATCATGTACAACATTGTGATAGCAGCCGTAGATCTGGCAGGAGGGAACGGTGACGAGGGCGGTAGCTCAGACTTACTTGCCTACGCGGTACTCGCATACTGGTTGAGGAAAACGACGGAGGCAGTTGCTACATGGCTGACCTTGGTCACACTGTATCAGAATTAGTCTTAGGGTCCTTGGATATGAGGGCCCAAGACGAAGCAAAGACGCCTCTTTGCATATCTCGTGAGCGATTAGCCAACACTTGATACCGACAAACAGTGTAAACAGCTAAAGGAAAGAAGTCTCAAGTTGTAGGTGTACGTGCCTTCTGCTTCCTCCGTCTGCACTCCCCGCAGGACGTTGTCGTCCTCTCGGCGCGTGCTGCGTTCCGTGACGCCCGCTGCTGCTGCGAGCCTTCGGACATCGTCTGAAAACGGCACGAAGGCGGCGGAGGCGGCGGCTGCTTCTGCTGCTACTGCTCCCCCCTTTCGTCTTCCGCAGAGCATCCGTTTCTGAGATACTTGTTTTTGTTCCACCTTTCGAGCAGATCGACGGCGGCGACGCGGTATCAAACATGACGTGACTTTGGACCCGAGAATCTGGTTGAATAGTACCTGGTAAGGCTGACTTATAAACAAATCGGAGAAAAGAGCAATAGGACATTGTCGAAGCCAGATCAAATGAGAAAGGAGGCTTTGTCTGAGCTGCAGGTCGTCGGGTTTTGACACGTTTGGTCTAGCGTCATGGGGAGAGCTTCCTTGGATCGAGCTGGGCTGAGGAAAAGCCACAAACCAGCCCTCTGTTTCTTTCTTGGGGTTTGATTGATGTGCACTAGCTTCCCCACTAGTGCGAGAGCCCAAACCCAGGAAGCGGTAGTGTGATGGTTCAAGGTTTTGCTCGCTGGAGAGAGAGAGAGAGAGAGAGAGAGAGAGGGCGTACATGGGCCAGTCGGTTCCATGGAATTTCCGTGGGACACAGCTAATGTATCGATGTCGACACATCGGATCGAGCCTGGTGAGATCCGGTCTGGACACATAGAGACTGTGAGTAATTGCTGTGCAAAAGGATATGCCCCGCTCAACACTCCCCGTCGCTGCCGCGAGTATCTCTTGACCGCTATCAATAATTGCGATAGATGCTACCTTTTCGAATCGTCCAGGGACCGGATAATCAAGCCACTGGGCAGCAGTAATCCTGTCAGCCATACGCTGACCGCAGAAACGGCTTAACTGATGAAGCACAAGCCCCATCGCTGGCGACTTGTCATGCTCGAGCCTTGTCAAAAAGAGGCTGGACACTTGTCCTTGTAATACCATACCACTTGGGAGATGGAGTCGATGCGGCATTGTGACGTCAAGTTGGAGGATGGAATTAGCCGGCGAAACAGAGCGATAGGCTCAGACAGTCTTTCCAACGGCCCGCTTTCGGTGAAGCCCGAGGCGGACTCTCAAGTTCGAGAATGCGGACCCAAAGAGCAGCCGATGGTTCGCCAGTGTGCGAAAAACGGTTGAGCCAGTTCGATGTGCCGGACTTCGTGACAAACATACGCGGAAGCCTTCTCCATGCTGGGGAATGTGACGCCCACATTGTGACGAAACGATGCAGCCGCAATCAAGCAAGTGCGCTAGCACAAAACATGCGTGTCCTAATTCGGACAGCTGAAGTGAGCCCACGATGCGTAGCTTCTGCCCAATCTCGTGGATTTAGAGACCTCAAACTTAATCGACGTCGCCAAAGGAACGAACTGCTCAGCTACAGCAGGAGCCAAGAAGGGCTAGGCCAGGCCTCCCACTAAGGCAGAGCTAGCGCCCTTGGGAACCTCCATTATTCAGTGAGGTGCCCTGTGGAATTCGTCAGCCCTGTCCGTGGCGCACCAAAAAAGCAAGAAGTGAGGGATGAATTTCTGTAAAACGTGTTCATAGAGACATGGCTTCGTAAAACGTGCCTATAGAAGCCCGCTGCCGGCCCCCAAATGTCTCGGTTGGGCTAGTTGAAGTAGCATTCCTGGGGGCTTCCCAATGCTTCGAAAAACTCCATCTCGCCTCGGTTCTTACTTTGGTCTGTGATGCGAACCGTGGGTAAGGGGGGCAGGGAGGAACGAGACGAACATCAATGAGACATTGGCATCCCCCCCGTGGCTGTTCACATTTGCTTTGACAACGTTGGTACGGCGCCATGGGCGGCGAGCCTGGAAAAAGCCTCGTTGGCTAGCTGAATGTCGTGCGTACGCCATTATACGTAGATGAGGTGGACTAAGGTAGGTAGTAAATTCGAAGCTGTGTCGACGGCTGTACCTTCATTCTCGAGCCCAAATCGTGAGCTTTTGGTTTGTCAGAGTCTGTCAGAGTCCGCAGCGAGATTTCCAAGAGAACTGAAGTTCCAGCATATCAAAAACGAATCGAGGTCAATAAATCAGACGGAAAATCAATGGGAATAAGGACGTTTTGGCAAGCTCAGGGGAACGTGCCTTTTAAGCTTAAGGCCGGTTCGCGATCAGCAGGGCCCACTCCGCCGTGACGTAGTGACCCACTAGCCGACCGAGTTCTCGGGTTCTCGCCACCGCCAGGAAGCGAAGGTGGCGAGCGCTGTGCTGCAGAGTGAGTAAGGGTGATGTCTAAGCGTGACCATTATTTCATTCGGTTGCTGTGCCACCACTGCGGTAATCGCGCGTTTCCTAATGATTCGTTCACTGGTGGAGGCTCGTCATCCAGCTTGATAGGGTAGATGGGGCGATAACTAAAACCCCCAAAAACCTGATTCGTTTCCCGAAAAGAACTCCCTTTTGCTGTATGCTCTTGAAGAAACAGAGCCTCATAAACCAGCTTGATATCCGCTTCCCTGATGGTATTACTGCGCTCCGAGTGCTCTCATGTGGAGAAATGGGGTATTCAATCGACCTTTCCTTCGTTTACCTCCCGCGGTAATCCGGTTTCCTAGCCATGTTCACTGGTGGAGGCTCGTCATCTACTGGATAGGGTAGGGGCGATGAGCTAACAGGACGGCGGCCTCCGGCTGCCTGATGTTCCGGGAGTGGTGTTTTGGGAGGCAGCGGTGGTGGAATACGCTGTGACTGTTGTGATTGTTGGACCGGACCGTTACTGTAAGGCTGGTTCTGCCATCGTGGGTGTTCATCCGGGCTCATGATGGCAATCTTATCAGCGCCTGCTGCGTAGCGATACTGCGCTGGAGTGGGCGCAGTGACAAGAAGCCTGTCAATCTCATCGTCCTTTGCCGGAGGTAGGGGCCGTTGCTCGGGCCGTGGTGACGACGATGGTTGCAGCCGTTCGCCGGAACTTCTTGGAGAAGGACTCATTGGTGAGGGAATGTGCAAGTGCTCAGAGCCAGATTCGTAAGACTGACGGCTGGGCGGTGTGTTATGCGGCGGCCACGATGTAGGAATCTCGGCTGGCAATTCCACCGCGAAAGACATTGGTTCAGTCGTCTCCGAGTTTGACTTGACCAGTTCAGGGACTTCTGGTAGCCGTGAGAACCTAATGTTCGCTTTGTGAATCTTGGCCATCTTCGCAGAGGCACCTTGAATCATTTTCTGCTCGACCTCCCGCCTCAAGTACTGCCGTGTGCTCGTGCTGATTTCGGCCAGGCGATGCCATTCGTTCATACCAAACTCGCCGACGCCAACCTCCACATTAAGACGGTAGTAGTTTTCGACGTTGACGTTCCGCTTCAGTAAGTGCTCTTTCCTCATTTGCTCGTGGATAGCCTCACATCCCTCAATCTTGGAGATAAGCTTCCGGCGAGCTTCCGCAAACTCTCCCAGGAAACCTTCGTACCACATCTGGGAGTTTGCATCACTTCCTTTGGGCCGTCTGCCGGTACCAACGCTGAGAAACACGCCGACTTCGCGACCCGGCCATTCGTTTACTACGGCTTCGTCAAGAGCCTCGGGAGAAGGGTTGAAGGTGCCGCCACCGTCATCGTGAAAAACAGACTGCCCGATTTGAATGGGCTTGAAGGCTAGGCCGATCGCACATGTCGCCCGTCCAGCCTGCCAGATCTTGCAGTCGAACTCTGGCGGAGGCTCTCTTCTCGAATCGTAGGATCGCAGTACGGCGGCGGGGTTGCCCTTGCGGGAACCTTTGTACATTGCCAAGACGGCGCTGAAGGGGAATGTCAGTTCAAAGCGCGTTGCTACGTGCCTAGTAGAGTACCGGCAGTCAGTAGGTAAAGACGTACGTTTTAGTCCTGTTCTCCCTTGCGTCGTAAAGTCTCGCGTTTGGGTCACCGTACCGCGAGTTGAAGGCAGGGCGTGCCATCTGAGCCTGGGGACTACGTGCGCTGAAGCTGACAGTGCTGGCGTTGCTTGCATGCCTTCGGGGATTTGAGGTGTTGTAGCCGCTGAGAGGGCTGAGAACATCGTTCTCGGTGCCATCATTGCCCTCTTTTTGATACACTGTGTGCTCCCTCACAGCCTCCTTGATAGCCTCCTCAAGCTTGGAGGCCTTGAAGAGGGTCGAGCGGTAGGGAATGCCGGCGATAGTTTTGTCGGTTTCGAAGACCATGCGCGTCAACCTAACGTAAAGTTCCTTGCACTGCTCTAGATCAAGGCGCAATCGACCGAGCATTAGGGCTATAAGACCGCCGGTACCGGTTCCTACGATGAGGTCGAAATGATCGCAAGGCCGAGGGATTTCGTTTCGCCGCGGGGCTCTCCCCTCGATTTCGACAAAGGTGCGGTGCATGAGTTCTTGGAGAATGATAAACATGGAATAACCGCGGACTCCTCCGCCATCTGTCATAGGCATGTTAGTCGAGTGCATGAGCGCTTCCGGGCCAATTTCGCGGGTTTTGCGCGCGATTTGGGTGTCGCGAAAGTGGCCGGTCTGCTTCACTTTGCTTACCTAGAGACAGGATGCGTAGGGGAGGGCCCTTTGTGGTGTCCCTCCTCCTGACCCCATTGGAGTCCATGATCTGGGCAAGCTCTCGTGAGTAAGCTGGCTTGGTCGCGGTCCACTGGGCTTCTTGATATTGGTGTGGGGTATCGGTTGTCGTTGAGAAAGGTCTGTTTGGCGGTCGCAAAGTGTTTGGTTTTTTGCAGAGGGGGTGTTGTTTTCTGCGAGATGCGAAAATTAGGAATTTCGGAGAAGATGGACTAGTACTGTAGGTGCAAGTGTGTAAGTAGGTAATTAGTTTAGGCAAAGCAAGGCAAGGCGGGTAAGGCAAAGTGCAGATGGTAATAATCCACCGCCCACCCACGAATACAAGTACAAGGCCTGATCACGAGTGGGAGGGTGACGCAAAGAAACGGCTTGCGCCCTGCACCATCCACTCGGATGGGGTCTTGGCCAACTCTGTCACTTGCCCACTTTGTGGAGGATGGACTCACCACTTGTGGTCACTCTACCGATGATTAGCAGAATGTATGTAGTCGCATTCGCAGCTTGGGCTGGAAGATGGGCGAAAGTCTGAAGATGGTCGGCTGGTAGCGATTGCGATGGCGATGGCGGCGGGGAGCAAAACCCCAGCGAGAACCTGTATTCGACCTCAGAGTCCGCGACTGCGTGTGACGCCACAGTAGCTAATTTAGAAATGGCCCAGGGTATTTTAGCGACTTGAGGATGGGCACGAATGGAAGGCCGCCGTTGCTCCTAGGCCCAGTGTCCTGGCTCCCTCCCCTTGTGGTGTCAGCGAGTGGGAGGCGGGAGTGAGATCAACTAGGTTAGGATCTTCTCTTTGATGAGGCACTGAGGGGTACCTGGACCGTAGAGCTCCGACGTGGCTGCGCTTTTGCAACACGGCGAAATCGAGGTAATGGGAAGGTGATATCTTTGCTGCTCTCAATCTCTGTTCGAGTTTGTGAGGGCGCCGATGCGAAGTGAAAAAGGAAATCGGGAGCACCGGCAAGAGAATGTAAGGTAGTGAGAGGCAAATAATAAAAGTGGGAGATGGAAAGAGAGACTGGGTAGTGGGATGGAAGGTCCAAGATACCCCTCTAAGGTAAGGTGGTGCACCTGCCTCGGGACGACGGGATGGGAAGGTCGGATGGAAGTTTGGTCCTTCTTTCCTCTGCCATTTCTGCATCATTCTTTCTCATTTATCAGAGAGAGAGAGAGAGAGAGAGAGAGAGAGAGAGAGAGCGAACGGCCACGCTCATGTTCTGACCACAAACGCAAGAGAATCTGCTGTCTGTACTTTACCCAGGGTAAGGTTGGTAAGGTAAGCCAAGTATACAAAAGACGACATTGCCTATTGTTCCCATATCTCGCCTATCGCAACTTACGAGTATCCTATCCAAGTCTTCACGGACAGTCAGTCGGTCCAGGCCTCCCGGTACATACCAAAGATGACATCCCAAGACGAACCAGACGAATCAAGACTCCTGCAAACGCGACAGATACCCCGAGGCAGGTCGCGAGGCAGATACACGGCTCAATAGGCTAGCAAGTTACGGCAGCACAGCAGTCTCGCAGCCAGTACCTTGCCTGTCTATACTGTAGCCGAAACGAAACCGCAGGGACGCACAATGTTTCCCACTCCACGCAATCCCGTATACTTGCGAACCTCGCCCAATCGCGGCCTTTGAAACCGACCGTCCGCCCACGACTCTCCCGGGACCTGCAACTTTGGGGGCCTTCCATTAGGCTTTGAGGCCATGTTCCTTGTTGGAGGATCCCGGGAACCTGCACTAGAGCCAGAACCATTCTCGAACCTCTCTTTTCGTGACAACTCCAATCGAGGCCGTCAAACCTACACTGCGAGTACCCACGCAACAGCGCCGCAGCAGTTCATGGGTGCGGATACTGCCTCTGCCTCTGCCGCACTGCCGTCTGCCCTGACAGACGCCCCACTCTCTCGAGATGGTCCCTTCAAAAGAACCAAAAGACCTCAAAGTCACAGGTTCCGAGCGGAGGCCGAGGCCGACAAACACTCAACAATCTTCTATTACCATTACCCATGGTTTGAGGTGCGGAAGTGCCCCACCAGATCTTCGGCCACTTTGGGCCCCGATGACATGCTCGTGCTGCCACGGCCTTGGCTTGTTTCTGGCCACAGAAGAGCAGCAGCAGCACAGTCTTCCCCGCGTCTAAGCAACTGTTTATTCGCCATGTCCGATGTATATTCAGTCGAAGCCTCTTTGTCGATGGAAATCGTCTTCTGGATTTTTCCCATTTGACTCGGCTGCAAAACAAACGATAACATGCGTTTCTCACTTGCAGCGAAGCAGCAGCTGTTAGCCTGTCACCACTCACGAGAACTTGCCAGCAGTATCCCAGTGACTACTGCGCACTCCGTACAGTAGTATTCCCACACTCGCTACTGATGCGGACAGGGGACCCCTTCGGATGACCACACCCATACGTCAGCAGTGCCATCAGCTTTCAGCTTTGCATGTGCCGCCTGGCTGCGCTAGCTCCCACCTCGAGCGTTGAGAAAACCCACCGGACCAAGATCTTGATTGGTTATGGTGTTTCCTTCTTGCCCAACTAGAAAGCTCGAAGCCTCATTCCCGCGTGGCTGTGCAAGACTTGGGCAAGTTCCCAACTCTCTCACTCGTCAGTCTCGCTCTTGGAGCCTTCGAACTTCAGTGTTCAGAGTCTTTGTCGCCACTTGGAAGCGCTCGCGTGACGAAACACGGTTCTCCTGGTTGTCGATTCCTGGAACGGTTTTTGATAGTGCTTCTTGGCAATAGAATCCCAACCCGCTCATTTGCTGGGTTTATTTCAGAGGCACGAGAGAAAAGGCTTCACCAACTCGATGGGAAAGTTGGTCAACGCCTCTTCGGAGGCCCATTCATGCCCGACTCCAAGAGTCTCGAGGGCTTGTGGACTGGCAAAGTCCATTCCAGGCGGCCCGCACACCGAATGCCGTGATCCTTGACCGGGCCCTCCGTGCCGTATCAAGGGTTGGCTTTCTGCTTTCGTCACTTGTGTTCGCCACCGTTTATCTTTTCAGACGCAGACTCTTACTTCGGTCATCGTGTTGAGAAAATTGTCCTTCTCATCCGACTTGACTACCTCGACTGTGGGCGTCTTCCGTGTCTCCAAGCTCCTTCCTTGGAACACTGTCGTCAACCGGTTATTTACTGCAACCTAGGCACGCCAGCGGCCAAATCATGGTGGGGCAGAAGATCCCATCATCCCATGAGGTCCTCGGGGCCGGCGTGCTGTTCATCACATTCGGCGTTCTCGACCAGCAATGAACAAGAGGCTGGGAGAACCCGGAGAGAACGGATCGACAAACGCCGGCTGCCTCCTTGCTCGGGGCCCACTTGTCGGCTCGGGGCAAGCCACGCCCGGAGCTCCCACAACTGTTGACCTCAGCAATGTTTTTAATGGACCCAGGTCGGTAGCGAAGAGAACGGACAGAGGCAAGCTGGAGAATATTGTACCTTCAACAGGTCATCAAGCCGTAAAGACCCTCCCTATCGAGTCTGTAGCCAAGTCCATGCCCGGCCTGCTTCAATTTGGGAAACCATTCCTCATGCCTGGAACAAACACATCCACATAGTATCTGACTAGGTGACGGGCCCTACAAGTTAAGATAGCATGTGTAAGAAGGCAACGTAGATTTGCGACAATTCGTCTGAGTCTTGCCGCCGCAATTGCGATGGTCTCAGGCGCGGATGATGAGATGAATCCTAATTTCCACCATGCCCTTTGCGACTTCTTTACGCTACTGGCATTGCTTCACGGCCTGGACTTGGCTACATGCGTATATCAATATTGCATGATCCCGCGCATGTATAAGCTCCCAGTCCCCGACAGCTGTATTCCCTGCTACCAGGGAGGGCCCTCCATTCAGATCATCAATTACCGAGGCCTGGGATGCATTTGGTGGCATGAGGCCAAGCTGCTGGGGCTTCTTGGTGTATGTGCGGCAGTACCTAGACGCAGTCCTAAGAACGCGATGGAGAATTGAAGTCCAGAGGTAGTAGAGCATCCCTATATATAAGGTAGGTAGCCTGCCTGAGCTCTGCGACGCGGGGAAATGTGTTACACGGTGTGGATGTCCTCCACAACGCGGAGGCGGACGATGAGGCCCAATAGCGCAACGCGTCTGGGAAGTGTAGCTGACGGAGCAAAACAGCCGATAGGAGGCGGATGCAATGGAAGCCGCTGAGACTCGATCGTGCGAGCTCAATTGGCCAGCAGCAAAGGGGGATGGAGTGAGGAAGGTGAAAAGGGTCTGATGTGGTGGGACTAGAGGCCTGCAGCCATGCCTTCCGACGCGGGTAGAAAGTGTAACTTGGGAACCAGCCAAGCAAAAAGTGTTCTGTCTTTCGCCATTGTTATGCTACCATGCTGCCACGCTGCCCAGTCTGTCGGTCAACCCAAGCCTGGACTTGACAGATTCCCTCTGGCGGACCTCGCGGCGCTGCGGCGCTATTCGCCGGTCGACCGTCAGACTACATTAGCCGACCTGACTGGGCTGCCACGCCTCGTGTGTGGCGGCGGTAGCACCGATTGGTATTGTGCTGCAGTGGTTGACAAGACACAGACAGACAGACAGACAGACAGACAGACAGACAGACAGACGAATTTAGATGGGCATGAATCCAATGATGATAAGGGATGAGATGTGTGACGGATGACAGGTGGCAGGTGCCGTGACCAGGCCAGCTCAGGTCCATAAACACGCCCGACGTCAAAAGTCAATTGTATCGAAGCTGTATCCGTGCTAAACGCCATCATCTTCTCGCTGGGCTTCGTGACCTTGAGAGAACATAACCAAAGCTCAGAATGACCTTGAGGAACTGCGGGAGATGGGCGTGAGTGAGTGGGTGAGTGATGGGAGTGAGATGTGAGTGAACGGACTGGCGTGGCCTTGGACGTCCGAGGCATGCCCAACGGAGCTGCCTTGCAGCACAAGGTTGTACAGGTGGCACCAGTAAATGGCAGTGATTCAGGCAGGGTGCATGAAAGAGACCAGTTATCAGGTCTTTTTGGACGCCTAGCAGCACGGCAAAGGCGTGTGAGGGAGGGAGGGGCAGTCGAGGCGGCGGCGGCGGCGGAATGAGGGGCACACACACACATTACATACCTTAGTACACTACACTCACCGGGCAGACACCACACACACTCACACCTCACACACGCGAGGTAGTATACTCAGCCCAGTCAATCTGCATGAGTTGTATACCTAATACCTTCCTTACAGGTTGCCCAAGAACATACATGGAGGACGAGTGACGGGGATGTTTGATGTCTGCGCAAGGTGAGAAATGTGGCCGCCATGGTTTTGAGATTGGCGGAATTACCAGATTGGAGTGAGCCGAGATTGGACCAGACAGAAAAGGACTCAGCCAGGAACAGTTGATGAAGCCATTGTAAGCAGGGAGACAGGATAACGCTTCATGACATGATGGGGGGGGGAGTTAGTGGTTGAGTGAGGTGCATCTCAGTGTCGGAGAGAAGTCACCGCCGGCGCAAGGTGAAGGAAGGAAGCTCCAGTGTGCTCCACTCTCACTTCTGCCCGCCTTGCTGCACGGACCACCAGCGAGTACCTGATGAGCCTTGATTGGCCCGTCGCAGAAGAGGCAGGATCGGCCCAGAGCCTTTCCACCTCTTTCCTGTCTTTCTCCCGCAACGAGGCTGTATGTAGACGTCCTCGGTACCTCTTCTGACCCCCCCAATTATCACTGCCCACGACAATTCAGCCATCGCCCAATTCCCCCAGTGCTTGTCTCCCAAAACTTTCCCCCTCCATTGAGCGCCTCCATGATCATAACGCAACTCAATTCCAAACCGCGTTTGTACAAATTGTCTTCCCATTGACAACTGTAGATGGAACAACCCCAGCCATCCAAGAAGCGGCGGCTTATGCCAAAGGAGTCGCCGTCAAATCACACCACACAACCGGCTCCTTTCCCCCATGAATCGGTGAGGATTCTGTTCTGCGCTCCCGTAGCTTGATTTGAGCTGCTGGAATTAACCGTCTTTTGAACCCATTCAGCCTCAGCAGCACCCAACCCAGGAGGCCCCTCCAGCCGAACGCCATGACTTCGAATCCTTCGCGAGGCATCTTCAAGATGCTGCCATGCTGATCCAGCGCCAAACCGAGCGCGCACCCTACGATAGCGTTTCTGTGCTTTTACTGCGCTGGGAGGAGGATACATCGGTCGAGGCTGATTTGACGGCTTTGGAAAACATACTACGAGACCG